CCACAATAAGACACGTGCTTTGTAGAAACCAGTTTTTGCCAGTTTTTAAATATTTGGGTCAGACAGGATTCTCATTTCGATGCTAATTTTGATGTCGTGTTCAAAAAAAACGGAAAACTGGCAAGTATAAATTTGATTCGCGTAAAGTTTTTACTATTCAATATACGTATAATTTTAATTTTTAGCTTTTATTAGGTCCATTTTTCGTTTATATGTTCTAGAACCTTTCATTTCAATCTTTACTTATCTGACAAAATTATTATGTTGAAAGAAAAAAAAATATTTGACTCTCCACAATATTCGTTTGAAAGACTGGAGAAAACCAATCCCCATAGAAACTGGGGCCCTCTGTTTACGAGGTTAAAAATTAGCTATACATTATATTTAGAATTGAGTGTTAAATATGCAATTTTTAGGTCATATTTTGACAAATGACACTTGATTATTTGACAGATTATTTACATTACGTAAATATATAATAATTAAACAAGCTTTCTTACACATATATAACACTTGAAAGTGCATTTTTTACTTCTATCGAACTAGTTAGATTAAATTCCAATTGATTATAATCAGTATTGTAAACTATAGTTTGAGCGTAAAATTTAGTGTGAACGGGTCACCCTAAATATGTAAGTACAAAAATTTTGTTTACCATACACGCTTATCAGGTTTCTTGGCAAAATAACAAGGAAAAATAAAAAATAAAAATGGTCAGATATTATAATTTATTTTTTTATTCATCATTATGATCAAAGCATGATACCTTTAAAGTGTCAAGAACGTCATGAAGAAAATATGTCAGTCCAATAATTATTATTTATTATAATATTATATTTAATAATTTTGGGCATATGTAATTGAAAATGGCGATTAATTTAGTGAAATGTTCAAGTTGTAATATTATTATAAACGAGTTACTTGCATACGTTAGTAATAAAATTGATGTAATGGATGAAGTAAGCTTAGGACGGATTTGTGTTACTTCTTTTTCCGAAAGTGAAATTGCAAATGCGAAAAATTTATTATACGAGTCATTAACAAAGGCAGGCAAAAAGAAAGTACGTAAAGGAGATGGAAAAGCTCGTCGGGATATCGATGACATTATTGGCGTGCTAAAGAGCACAGATCCAGACGACATGCCAATATTTGCTGCACGTGATCTGCATAAGTTACCACCCATTTTGTTTGATCACGTCGACGTAACTAAAATTTTAAAAGATTTATTAAAAATGCAACAAGATATTAAAAAAATACGGGAGGAATATGTTACTAGTGAGCAGTTAGATATTTTCAAGTCACAGTTTTTTCCAATTGATAATGGTGAGTCAGAGACCAATAGTGTTAAAACTGTTCTTGATAAAAAATTGAATACACCCAAAGATTATTCTATAAATAATATGACATGTTCGGATATTCAAGACATAGAGCAAGCTTTCGATGTGCCTTATGAGTCTATTCAAAACAATATGAACTTTATAAAAGAACCAACTATAAATAATGACAAAATTCGGACAGACCAGAAGAGTGGTTTGCAAAGTAATATGGCAATTAATTCAAATACAGTGCAGGATAAAGACGCAACGATTAGTAATAAGTCGAATACAAACATCTCAAATGGTCACGCTAATAAAAATCCTATGTTGTCGAAGGAAACTACATTAGCTGACATTGTTCGGGAAGGAAATTTGAAACCTCAAACTGAGAGTGAAGAATGGAAAATAGTACAAAAAAGAAAACTAAGAAATCGATTTATTGGGAAGAGAGGGACTGCGGTTATGGAACAAAATCATCATTTTAAAGCGGCGGAAGTGAATATTCCAATATTTATTTATAACGTTGCAAAAAGTGTATCTGTTAATGATATCAATAGTTATATAAAGGCAAAGGCTAATATGTGTGTTCCTATTGATCAAATAAATTCAAAGTCTTTAAAAGATTATATATCATTCAAAATTTTAGTTCCAAAACACAAACTAGACTTGTTTATGCAAGATGAATTTTGGCCTGAAGGAATTGCCTATCGTCGTTTTATTGATTTTAAAAGAAAAAGGGAAGCCACAAGTGACCTAACACGGCAATTTGTATAATAATAAAGAATTATAATATTAACATCTAATTACTATGGATTATATATTGATCTGAAATAAATACTTATTATTATTATGTGTATATTGTCTCAACTTTCGTTGGTATTTGGCTTCCGAAGACGGGCATCTGCCAAGTCTTTCGGGGGCCCTATGGGGATAATGATGAGGGGTTTAGGAATCGACGTACTATCGAGCATGTGTCTAGAACTATTGACTTTTGTAACTTAATATATGTTGATTTGTGTAATTCTAACAATTCTATAGATTTATGTAGAGTTTTGGGTACTACACCTGTGGATGAAAGAATTATAGGTACTATCTTTATTGAGCTTTGGTGCCACATATCTTTAATTTCGTCTGCAAGTGGAATATATTTTTGGATCTTTTCTTGATGCTTGGTTTTCAGATTTTCGGTGTTAGGTATGGATATGTCGATGAGGTAAGTGGTCTTTGAGGATTTTAATGTAAGTGTGATATCAGGTCTGTTGCATGCTATTGTTTTGTCTGTTATTATATCTACATTCCAATATAGTTTGACTGTTTCATTTTCAAGGACATTGGTGGGTATATATTTGTAGTAAGGCGTGTATGTACTAATTAGTTTATGATTCAATGCTAAGCTTTGGTGTATCTGTTTCGCAACGTTGTCATGTCTTTTGATATATTCTTTTGTAGCTAATATCTTGCAGCCTCCTGTTATGTGATCTATTGTTTCCTTGTTTTGATGGCATAACCTACATAAATCTGTCTCTATTGATTCTTTAATTATGTACTTAGAGTAGTTTCTAGTTTTAATAATTTGGTCTTGGATAGCTATAAAGAAACCTTCTGTTTCAGCAAATATGTTACCTTTTGTAAGCCATGTATTTGAAGCTTCCTTGTCTATGTGAGTCTGTTCGAGTTGGTGGGGGTATTTACCGTGTAGTGCTTTTTTCTTCCAATCTTCTACTTTTTTTTGCTCTGTTATTATCTTTGTTTCAGGTTCATAGTCTCTGTCATTGAACTGGAGGGGGGTACCAGCTGTGGTCAGTATGGTAATAGCTTTGTGTAGTTTGCTGTTATTGGCTTTACTAAGAAAATATGAACGCAAGTTTTCTATTTGGGTATAATGTAAATTTTTAATGTCGATAAACCCGCGACCACCATGTTTTCTTTGTAGTGTGAATCTTTCAGTTGATGTGTGAATGTGATGAATGTTATGTTTGTTTGCTTGAGAACGTGTCATTGTGTTTAGGGCATTTAGGTCTGTGTCGGTCCACTTAATAATTCCGAAAGAGTACATAAGTATGGGGACTGCGTATGTGTTGATGGCCTTGGTTTTGTTTCGAGCGGATAGATGGGTTTTGAGTATTGTATTGAGTCTTTGACTGTATTTTGTTTTAAGGGCTTGTTTTATGTCTGTATGATTTAAGCAGGTGCTTTGCTGGTACCCTAAATATTTGTATATTTCTTTTGAATCCATAGTGCTTATAGCGCCTTCCTGTAGTGTTGGATTGTATGTTTCTGTTTTCTTGTGCTGTCCTTTTGATATGCTGTTGATTTTACATTTGTCAGTTCCAAAATTCATTTTTATATCATTGCTAAATTGTTCTGTTTGTTTTAATAAATGGTTAAGTTGGTTCCTGTTTGATGCATATAGTTTTATATCGTCCATATATAACAGATGTGTGATTTTAACTTTAGCTTCTCTATCTATTGTATATCCGTATTCGGTACTATTTAATATGCTGGACAAAGGATTTATTGCAAGGCAGAACCATAAGGGGCTTAGGGAATCTCCCTGGAATATACCGCGAGCAATTTTAATTGGTGTTGTTGTAAGATTGTCTTTTTCAGTGCGTAGTGCCAATGTGGTCGTCCATTTTTTCATCATGTTTTCTAAGAAATGTATTAAAATATCGTCTACTTTGTATAATTTTAAGATATGTATTAACCAGGAGTGTGGTACACTGTCAAAGGCTTTTTCATAATCTATATAGGCATAAAAAAGGTTTCTGTGTTTTTGTTTTACTTGGTTGTGTATTTCTGTATCTATTACAAGCTGTTCTTTGCATCCTTTCGAGCCTTTGCAGCAGCCTTTTTGTTCTTCGGGGATTATTTTGTTTTGCGTGATATGTATGTTGAGTTTGTGAGCGATGATGGATGTAAGAAGTTTGTATATCGTGGGTAAACATGTTATGGGTCTATATTTGGCGGGATTGGTTGTGTCTGCGTCTTTCGGTTTTAGATATGTAATTCCTTGTAATAGAAATGTTGGTATATTTTGTGGTTCTTGTATGAGTGTGTTGAGTGCATTGGCCAAATATGCATGTGTAGATGTAAAATATTTAATCCAGTAGTTTTGTATTTTGTCTGGGCCCGGTGCCTTCCAGTTCAGTGTTTTTCGTATAACTGTTTCTATATCGCTTTTCTCTATTTTAAATTGTGTCATGTTTCCTATATTTTTAACTCTATTTTCCTCTAATTCTATCCATTTCGCGTTCTGATTATGGTATACACAGTTTCCCCATCTATCTTCCCAGAATTTTTGTACTTGTGTCATATCAGGTGGCTGAGTTATTGTGTGTGTTTTGTGTAGGTTACGGTAGAATAATTTTTCATTATAATTGAAATTTCTGTTTTGTAATTTACGTAGATTACTTAATTTATATCGGCGCAGTCGTTTTGATTGAGCTGCAAGTTTCTGTTTATTTTTGTCTAAGTCTTCAACTACTTCGTTCCTATCTTTCCCATTAACTTTTATTTTTTCTTGTTTCTTTTGTGATAATTTTCCGTTGAGATGTTGTGTTAATTGTCCTATTTCCTTACGTAGTTTTGCAATTTTTGTTTCTATACGTTTTTGCCATGCTGGTTTGTTCTCAGTAGTTTCGGTTCTTTTAATATTTTTCTTATTTAGGTTGTTTTTTTCTATGTGTAGTGTTGTGACTGTTTTAGCTGCACAGTATATTATATCATGTAAATTTTCGATTGTCGTATCGTCATTATTTTGTAGGTATGCTTTAATGATTTGGTTGATAGTATTTACCGTTTTAATAGTTTTTCGACATGTTTGTAATTTTGGGATATGTGGTCTGAGTGTTGGGTCCGTTCCTTTAAATTTTATTAACAGTTCTGTAAATGTTGTATATATTTTTTCGTACTCAAGTTGTGTGTGGTTTTCATTTTCTATATTCATCTGTTGTGATGGTGTAATTTGATGTTCTGTAATAAGAGTCTCTGTATTATAACTGTTTTGTGTGTACTGTGTGTATAAGTGAGCCATTGCTGTCTGTGTATCGGTATTTGTCTCTTCTTCTGTTGTATTATTGTCTTGTATATTTGTAAATAATGTATTTTGCGTTGTGTTTTCACTGTGTTCGTTATTTTCCCTATTGATTATTTCTTCAATGGTTTTCTTTATTTTTTCTCTTGCTGTTGCAGGTATTCTATTATTTCTGTGTATGACTCGTATTTGATCTGATAGTCGTTGTTCCGTAATGAAATTTAATTCTGGGTACTTTTGGACGAACATTCGGTGAAGTAATGGTCTGTATGCGGTAAGATTGGTCTCCAAGTTAGTGACGGTGTAATAGCAACGGAGTAACTCGATATTTATTTCGTCAGTCCACTTCATCCGTTGTCTATTTCGGCCTCCTAGGGTGGTTGCGGGCATCATGTCCTGCAAAACACTACTAGTCGGGTTTGTACTTGTTGTCGGTTGTGTATCTATGGTAGTGTAGGCAGTAGCATTTTTGTTGACCGCAGCCTGCCTATGTAACTGACGGCCACTGGCGGATCGCATGCTGTGACGTCCAGCGCCAGCTCCAGACGTGCCCCGGCGATCACCCCCGGGAAGCGGCCCTATACGATTATCATTATTATCACTCTCCATATCGATGGGTTACCTTTACCTTGTTAGCCGTGTAAGTTTCATTTGTACACGTTACCGCCCCCCACGTAGCAAGATGTTCAGCTAGGACGTAAGGTAGGATTTTGGGGGGCTTATTATTATTATTATTATTATTATTATTATCAGTTTGCTAAACTAAAATATCAGCACAAATAAAACAAATCTGACTGTTTGCAGCGCAATCCATGGCCTTACGAATTAGGATTGAAGGAATTTCTTCATCTTCCAAAAGTATATTTTCCATTATATTATATTATATTGACACAATGAACATTCATTTCATAAATAAAGTACAGTTAGTCCAATCGAATTCCGGTTTGGGAACAAAATATTGAAAACCTGAAGTTTTATGATTTTAAAATATTAGCAGGTCTATAAGAAATAAAAATTCGTAAAATACCCCCTATGCCCAGCTATCCCCGAGAAATAGGGGGATAAAAAGCGTTGAAAAATAGTTTTTTTCAATTTCCGGCTTACTGTGTCGTTCTATCGAAAAATTATTTTTACAAAAGTTGTAGGTCTAGTAAAAATCTACAACTTTTATAAAAAACATTTTTTACAATAACCTCAAAGTTTTCGAGATATTTACAAAAAGCTCGGTTTTTAACTGTTCTTGGACTTTTATTTTTTTATTTCTAGAATAATCTTTTGATTTTCACGAAAATAAGGGCATGTAGTCTTCAAAATATATATAATTAATAATAAAAAAAATTGAATGTTTAGTCATTTTCGAGAAAAGTATGTTTTATGTTTTGGAGAGGCTGAAAATCACCCCCAACTTCAAGAGTACATTTAAAAAAAATCGTTCAATTTTTAAATAAGGCTCATCCTTTTCGTCTTGAACTCTACTTTTTGAAAATATAAATACATTTTTTTTAAATATTTAAAAAATAAAGATATAAAAAAAAAAACTATAATAGTACATTTTAGAAATACGACTTAAATTTATAAATTAACCCTTTAATCTACTGTGCATCCATTAAATGCTAAGATATTGATGATAAAAAAGAGAAGAATCCTTTTTTTATTGAAAGTCGAATATCTCAGGAAAAAATCAACATAGAGAGTTTAGTTAGATCCATTTTATGTTATGGTTTTTAAAACAAAGTCTTTAAATTTAAAACAAGGTTGCGTTATTTTATTGATTATTGAAAAATGAGCAATTTGATCATTGGTTTTATTTTTCACAGTTTAAAATTCTTAATATCACTGGTAATATCAAATGCAGGGCAAATTTTATATCTATCATGTATTACTTTCGACATATTAATAAAATAAAACAGCTCAATTATGAGCGAATTAACAAAATCTATTACCTATTCGAGTAAACAAAAATAGCCAGAATTAGCCGGTGTCCAATTTCTTTGTTCGAGATCAGGTATCTGTAATAGTAAAGTAGTATATTGACTGTGAAATTATTAAGATATTATTGTGAATAGTGGAATATTTAAAATTCATTATGTAACCATTGGCAAATGTATGGCATAAGTTGTGCAAATGGACAGGTAAAACGAGTAATGAGAGTGCTGACGAATTGTTTTAGTGTGGTCAAAAAATATTACCAAAAAAATGGCAAAGATGGTATTGTGTAATGCAATTGGTAATTAATATCACATTAGACAAATGTACTTGTTTCATTCTAAAAAGTGTTATTTTGAAGTACCTACTTTCAATATTATTTAATATTTTTTTATCTTACGGAATATTTCTTTGGGGCAGTGCCGCATATTTATTCTTCAAAAAAGAGCAGTACGGGGTATTTATGATCTAAGAGCTCGTTATTCCCTTCGAAATGTTTAAAAAAAATATTCTTACGGTTGCATCACAATATGTAGGTACTGTGTAATATATTATTTGTTCGCAAAATCCTTCATGGGTCAGTATACGCATATATAATAAGATTCCACAAACTATCCCAGATTTACCTTTTCAAAAATTTTAAGATAAAATTCTGAATATTTTATTGAGCAAAGCTTATTACACTTATCAAGAGTTTCTTGTTGATGAAAATGTGTGGAATTATATATATGTATATATATATATATATATATATATATATATATATATATATATTGATTCATATGCGGACAATCTGTAATATTAACAATAATATATGTTTATCAATGTAACCTCGATATTTAAAAGAGCAACTGTTGAGTTTCTCGCCGGCTCTTCTCAGCAGAACTGCTTTCCGAGCCGGTGGTAGCTTCCTCACGGACTCGGACTGACTATACTGACGCTCTAAATTGACGATTCAAAAGTGCTTGTAATAAGTCGATTTGAATATTTCATTTCATTTCATCGGGGAATCCATCGCAATGAAACTCTTGCAAAAAGGCGGTGCAGCTCAAATAAAAATAAATAAATAAGAGGAAATACTTGTGGGGTAAGCAAAATTCTATGATATTCCCACTTTCATTAATACAGATATCCTTTTCGAGTCCATATAAATAAAATTCTTTAATTAGTGTCTTAATAGCGTTGGCAATTTAAATATTGAACAATGCCGCGTGAAACTTTACATTCGGTAAAAACCGATTATGTAATTATTGTATTTCTATTACCCATTACGACGGTAATAGTAAGATTTGAAATTATTATTTTAAATTGCACGCTTAAAACTATAATTTAAAAAATAAACAATTTAATATTGGTAATATTGAAAGTACTTCTATGACTACAGTTGCAGTAGAGTTTTGGTTCCAGTTTTTCGATTTCAAAAAAATGAGGAGGTTCTCGATTTCGGTTGTATTTTTTTATGCTTGATACCTCAGAACTACGTCATTTATTAACCGTTTAGCAGAATTCTGTTTTTGTTTGAAAGTGCATATTTCCAATTTGCTCCCATTTAAATAAAAAAAAACCATCCCTAAGGATGGATAAATGTGTTAAAAGAACTAACTTACACGACTTATGCGAATATTTTATTAAAATAATTTCTTCTTACTTTGGTACTACTACGTCTACGCTAAAAATGGAAAAGTAAAAACTTAAAAAAACTGACTTCAAAACACTAAAAAGTAAAAAGTAACTCAATGGGAGTTTTCATTTTTCCTAATCGGATATTTTTGAAGCCAGTGTCACCAGCCAATACACATCAAAGCAAAGCTTACATTACAAATGAATGTACATATAATATTTTAAACTATAATTATGGTTCTTCTTACCTTGTCATATTTACGTATTAGATATTCATATATCTTAAAGCATTGTCGGCTGGCACTGACTTATTGATCTTGATTGATCGAAAATATCTGTTTAGTTATCTGTATAGTAAATGGAAACTCCCATTCATCTATTTTTTACGTTTTAGTGTTTTGGAGGAGAGTTTTTTATATACATCCGAATCAGAATTTAATAAATATTATGTACTATTTTAATTTATTTATAGAGAAAAGGTAATAATAAAAATCTCATTTAAAATAGGTATCATATCATACCTATTTTAAATGAGATTTTTTATTTTTACTTTTTAATCAGATATTTTTGAGTCTGTACAAGCAGCCGCAAGGCAAAAACAATCTATTTGGATATTATGGATTAAAAATTCATGTGTTATAGTTAAATCTCAATATATAAAATTTCCGCGTCTCGATGTTGGTCCGCGATGAACTCCGAAGCTACTTATCCGATCTTAACGTACCTAATTTTTTTTCAAAATGTATGATTTGACTTTAAAGACAGGATAGTTTTTATCCCGATTATTTCCTTTTGTAATTGCGAAATTAACGATTTTCATACCTGGAGAGGGATGCCTGAGAGAAATCTGAGAAACAGCTAAGTTACGAATTCTACCCCCAAGCTAAAGAAAAAACAATTTTTTTGTTAAAAAATCTGTGTTATTGTAATTAAGATGTTGGTTCGCGATGAACTCCGAAACTACTTGATCGATTTAGATAAAATTAAGCACAATGTGTGTAATTTGGTCCAACTAATTAAATAGGATACTTTTTTATATTAATTATTAATTTTAATATTTTTTTTATTGCAAATTAATAATTATTTTTAAAGAATGCGAACGGCGAGTTCAAATTAAGCTCAAACTAACATATTTTTTATTTTTATAATTTGTCAAAAATAATTAACTTACGAAGTTATGTGTGCAATAACAACGCGTGGCCGAGTCTGCTAGTTATAAATAAATTTAATGTCTTTTATTCACATCTAAATGATCAAATATCTTCAACAGTTTCTTATTATTTTTTAAAATTTTAGTTTTCATTCTCCAAATAGGCTCTAATAAACTAATGTAAACTTTTTTATCACTTGCGTTTTAACTTAATAATTGTTTTAATGATAACTAGGTAATAGTGACAGTAAATACAGTATATAGATTTTGTTCATATATATTTTTATACGAAAAAAGCATTTATAAGAAAATATTTTTTATTTAAGTAATATTTTCAGCAATTTATTGCTCAAATTCTAATATAAGTGACAATTAACATTATCTTCGGGAGTATTAATGAGGCACATTTTCTTTCATTAAGTTTAATACAGCCTCATTTCGTGTCTTGTAGTGTTCAACCAAGACCATAGGCAACAGAAGCGTCCTAGCTGTTACGCGTGCGTGTTGTCTGCGAACGGACAAAATGCTACATTCTAATAATCTAAATATTATATAGATTTTTTAAATTTAATTGAAAATAATATAATTATTTTAACTTAATTATGATAAATAGTTAGCTTATAAGAAATTTTTAGATATTTTTGGTCAGTGCCGTGTCAAAGAAAAATTTGGATATAAAAAATGGATGAGGCGTTCGCACATCTTGAGGGAAATAATCTTAAAAATGGCAAAAATACGCAACTTCCGCCAGACGGAGGTTGGGGCTATGTTGTATGCATTGGAGTCGGATTTACATTTGTAAGTATTATCTATTATTATTTTAATAGTAAATTAAATATAAGGTATTCGATTATTTTACAATCATTCGATTAGAAATTGTATCTACACTAATATTATAAAGAGGTCAAGTTTGTGAGTTTGTGACGTTGCAGGGGGTAATCTCTGGATTTACTGAACCGATTTGGGTGAAACTTGGTAAGGATATAATTTGAGACCTTAGGAAGGACGTAGGTTACTTTTTATCCCGGATATCATCCCTTAAGGGGGTTGAAATGGGGATGAAAATTTGTATTAGGAAGCAAGCTATTTGCTATATTATTAATTAAAATTAACTGCCTCGGTGGTGTGGTGGCTAGCATGTACGGCTGCACACCCGGAGGTCCTGGGTTCGAATCCCGGGTCGGGCCAAGTTTAGTTATTGAGTCTTTCTGTATAGTAAGTCTCAGTAACAGCCCGGAGTTGGGAAGTTGGCGGTGTTTCACCCCCGTGCCTCGGAGAGCACGTAAAGCCGTCGGTCCTGCGCCTTAACCCTCACCGGTCGTGTCGAGTAGTCGTCCCACCGGAGTATGAGAGTGACAGGAATAGAGAGTGCATTTGTGTCTGCGCGTACACTTGTGCACTATAATATCTCCTGCGCAGTTGGCTAGTCTCAATGAGATTGGCCGCCGTGGCCGTAATCGGTCAGGAGAACATCATATTATTAATAATATGTTAACAGAAAAACTTGATTTGCGTCAAAATATTATTAGCTCTTCTTAGGTCAAAAAATATAATATTGTAATTAGAAATGATCATGAAATAGTATTTCATTGTTAATAACGAACCAGTAAAAAGCAAAATTGCTATTTTTGTTTGCGAACACAGCGTTTTTCTCTAACGCATTGTGTGATATAGAAATCAGTGAAGTAACAATTTAAAGTGCTAATAGGGCCTATTTTTCACATAACACTAAATGTGCGATTTAAAAGTTTAATTTGTTTTTGGTTACGGGAAATTTAAAAATTATAAGTTAGATTGAGTTTTTAAACATTATATCAAACTAGCGACTCACCCTCGCTTCGCTCGGGTTCGTCCCTGGGTTGATTCCCCATACAAATTTTCATCCCCATTTTCACCCCCATAAGGAATGATTTCTGTGATAAAAACTATCCTATATCCTTCCCAGAGCCTCAACCAATCTTCTTACGAAATTTCATCTAAATCGACTTAGTAGTTTCGAAGCCTATTCAGTACAAACAAACAAACAAACAAATAAAAAATCTAATCTTTCCTCTTTATAATAATATACTAAAGTTGTTATGTTAATTTTAATTATTAAATATTATCATTTGAAATAACCGCAAAAATATATGAATAGAACTGATTAGAATCAACATCTATTAAATGGCTGGATCAATTTTGATTAACTTGTTTTATATAAATACGAAATATTCGGTCTAGCAGATTAAAAAATACAACTAAAGTTTCTTTTCTACGCACGTAAAATTGCATGTAAGTTTCTAGCCCACGTAAAGTGGACTATCGTAGTATAAGTATAGAAACGTATGCATAGTAATAATGAATTCGATTTTGAAATCAACATATATATATATAGGTACATATATTAATGGTAACGGTAAAAATTTCAATGCAGTTTGGGTGTTGTAGCTTAAACCACGATTTCCAGTCTTTAATAATTTGATACGATATTATTTTGGTATATGCTAATACTTTAATATTTCTGACTTGACATTTCGTTCTTCCAAAATATGTTTGAAATAAACATAATATTTCATTTGAATTGGTGCATAAGTTAAGCTGATGTTTTTTGCAATTACGATAACTTGTTATATTTCTATCTCTAACAAAGACAACCTTTTATCACTTAAATTCTCGCATTCGATGTTGTTGCCGTGATATTTTTTTTAACCTTGGAGTACTAATTATGTCATCTACATAACTTTAATAAGTTTGTTTATTTAATTATGGTTGCAAATTTATATAATTAATAAATAAACAAGATTCTAGTTTTGTATAAAAAAAAAATTTAAAGAATAAATTTTACGATTTTGTCTCTGATATTTCTTTCTTGCAATTATTAATTTCTTACATTATTGTGAGCAGGTTATATGTTCTAAGAGGTTGTAAATAATAATCATTTACCAATTTACTAAGCAGTAAGCTTAAAACGACTTAGCAGTTGTATATGTAAATATCAAGCGAATAATGCAGGATTTCGGCTGTAAACAAAAAAAAAAAATATGCAGCGTTAATCCGATTCGAAACAAGTTGAATTTTTTCGCCTTGGCGAAATATAAAAAAGTTGTCTATACGAGTTTTAGGTTCAATGCGCTTACTATATAAATTATTAATTTTAAATATTTCATTAATTAAAAAAAAAATTTTTTCATTGCAGTAATCGATAACGTTTAGAAGCATTATCTTAACTAAAAAAACAAATAAAAATCTATCTATGATTTTAATTTGATTTCATTTTCTTAACCTTCGCTACTTTTTACAACTTTGGATTTGATCGACGAGGTGATTATTAAACACGCGAATTTGTCTAGTTATACAACTAATAATTTATTTTATTTAATTAATACTAATTAAATAAATTAAACAACGTACAACTTATTATTATTATATTTTACTAGTTACCTTTTTCAACAGTTATATACTGCATTCCGCAGGTTTTTTCAGTAAAATAATTAAACCAGGGTCAGAAACAATGAGGGCTCGTGGGCAATTGAGAAATTAAAAGAAATATTTTGTTTTTTTCTTTTGTCGCCTCCTTTCAATATTTTTTTATAAACCAGTTTTAGTAATAGAGTAGCTTTAGTAATAGGTACTACTTTTCATACCTCGGTGGTGTAGTGGCTAGCATGTACGGCCGCATACCCGGAGGTCCTAGGTTCGAGTCCCGGGTCAGGCCAAATTTAGTTATTGAGTCTTTCTGTATAGTAAGTCTCAGTAACAGCCTGAAGTTGGGAAGTTGGCGGTGTTTCACCCCCGTGCCTCGGAGAGCACGTAAAGCCGTCGGTCCTGCGCCTTAACTCTCACCGGTCGTGTCGAGCAGTCGTCCCACTGGAGTGTGAGAGTGACAGGAATAGAGAGTGCACGTTGTGTCTGCGCGTACACTTGTGCACTATAATATCTCCTGCGCAGTTGGCTAGTCTCAATGAGATTGGCCGCCGTAGCCGGAATCGGCTAGGAGAACATCATCATCATCATCACTTTTCATTTTTAGCTCTACATGTTTCCTAAATATTATAGCTTAAAGATGATTAGCTCAGTATAAATGTACCCGATGATGATAGATGGATAAGAGCTAGCAGTGGAGAGTGTCAAAATAACGTTTACAAAAAATTGGATAAGTGCGAGAATAACTCGCGCATAGATACGACAATAATTTTAAATAAAACTATCTTTTCGGATCCTTTCGCGGATTTTTGGTTCCCGACATTTCGAATGCTTTACAGCAATCACGGTCACGGGAGAGACCAATTAAAATTCAAATAAATCCGCGAAAGGATCCGAAAAGATAGTTTTATTTAAAATGTCAAATATTCGCGTAAATCTGAGAAAGTATTACGATAATAATAAATTAATTTCAATCGAAATTCGTTAATGGCTCCCAATTTCACAAAGACTAGTCTGCTGAGCTAGAGATATTATTGAGCATAAGTGTGTGCGTATACAAAATACTCCACTTAATAAGTCTTTATTCTTTCACTGTTGTAGTCTGGCAAGATGACCATCTGACACGATCTGAAAGACAGTATGTTGAAACGCCTTTACGAGATTTCTAGTAACATCTCAACCTTTCTAATTGGAATTTTTCAACATTTTTGTCCAATTTTAATAGAAATAAGCATTATCTATGAGCTGAATTATAAAATTCAACCCTTACCGGGAATCAAACTAAGGAATCTCAGAAGTCCAGGAAGCTGTGCATGCTAGAAAAACGATTTACATATGTACGTACAAACATATATATTATAATCATAAATATTGTAATACTTTACTAATCAACAAGACGTACTAATGCAAGGTACTTACTAATAACAACCATATTTGTAGAATATTTAAGAGTACCTAACCAAAACTTTAGTAGCATGTTTCAACTAGGTCAAGCAGACGAATTCTGTTAAAACCACTAGTATAAATTTGTAATGAGATAAGGTTACCCAGTTTTTATATAATACTCTTATAATATATCATTTTACTTTTGCGATATCCATTGATATTGGATATGCATTATCAAGGCCTTGGTCTTATGACACGGAATGTTATATCATTGGCGGAAGTATTTTGATTAACCTATAAAGCTGTGGTTAACCTAAATACAAATAGTTACTATGTGAAACTAATCAATCCTTACTAATATATAAATGCGAAAGTAACTCTGTCTGTGTGTCTGTTACCTTTGCACGCTTAATCCGCTAAACCGATTTAGACGAAATTTGGTATGGAGATAGTTTGAGACCCTGGGAAGGACATAGGATAGTTTTTACCCCGGAAATCATCCCTTAATGGGGTGAAAAGGAGGGTGGAACTTTGTATGGGGAATTAATCATTTCTAAAGTAAGGGATAGACTATATAGTCTATACTAACCGCAATAAGGTATCTAGGGACGAACCCGAGCGAAGGGTGGGTGAGTCGCTAGTAGTAGATAAATAAGAAAGAAAAAATCATATTTCATTTAGTACTTGGTAAAAGTTCACGACATCCAATATCTCATCCTTTTTAACGTCCTACTGCTGGGCACAGGTCTCCCTCGCCGGTCGAAGATTGCGGCTAAGTTAGGGTTGCCAGACTTCTCATGTCTTTCAATCACTAGTTAGGTTCTCTGGGACCTGCAGGTTTCCTTACGATGTTTTCCTTCACCGTTAGGCAAGTGTTAATCATGTTAAAAATGATAAATCTACCATATGCTCTTAATAATATCTGGTCTATTTGAATACGTTTGATTTGTAAAAATATTAAGATTGTATTTAACATCTGTATTGTAAATCCTATACTCACAATCCCCTAC